CAATTTTGCCCTTTTGGACCCCCAAGAGGAAATTCTCTGGGTACCTGACGGTGGGCTTGCTCACAGAAAACCCTCTGTGGCTGCTTTGTGGGTTAGCCCATACAGGCCCCATAGTAGTTTTACCCTGAAGGTCCCCCATTACAGTTTTCTGTGGGCAACCCATAATAGTCTTGCCCATAGAAAACCTATAAAGCGACCCAAAATAGCCCGCTGCAGGCTACTGTGGGCACACATTTTCTGCCCCAGATTAAAATATATGCTGAGCTATGACGTAGACTCTGCAACAAAGTTTATGCTTCAGTTTTGGTGAGTAAAATTCTAGTACTGTATTAGTCTGTTACTAGCTACTTATTAGCAGGTATGAATGTAACTTTCTAACAAAGCTTATCGGTGTTTGCTGATAACTTAAGACTTACACTGGTAGTCCAAAAATTGTAACCTTTGGATGCAGTCAAAAAGATAACATTTAGGCTTTAGGCCTGGATATGAGAGTTGATTATTTCTTTTTTGCTTCTTATCTTTAGTCTAACACTGCACACCACTTTCCTTTTTGCAGACAGGCAGAATAATATGAAGGCTTTAGATGTGTTTGAGTGATCAGGAGTATTGTAGAGCCTGGAAATGGGGGTTATGGCCCCAATGTATCCATCTTCATCCATCTATAATCTCATTGTACGCGTTAGATTCAGTGCACACATTGCCACCATCTTCAGCAATGTGCGTGACCACATCCACATCCAGACTGCAAATTGGCAAGGAACTGTGGGTCTCCAGGGAGCTCATTCCAGATGAGTCCTGCTGCCTAAGCCTCTGTTGGATGTTCAGAAGGAAATGGGCCTTCGGGGGCGCAAAGGAGGGATTGTCAAGATGAGATTCACTCACTCACACACCCACAGTGGCATACATGCTTCGTTTTGCGACTGTATGTTGGAAACAGTATATGTGTATTACTCAGCGTGTTGTGACAGCTTGTGGACAGCGTGGACTGCTTTTTGTCACGTCTTATCCAGGTCAGCTGTCAGAAAAGTGCTGAGACGACAGTTGTGGAAAGTTTGACACAGATTTGAGTCTCGTCTTCACTTTTTTGAGCTCAGAGTGCACCTAGACGTCTTCTGGGAAAAGTCATGCAGAAGCACCATTATATTCTGTATGCTGCCTATTTAAGATACCTTGATTTCATAATGGGTCATTTTTTAGCTATTTTTGTGTTTTATAACTTCATTTCTTTTCATATCAGGAAACACAGTGGGGTTGGAGCCTTTTTGGAGTCAATTAATACACATTCATGTTTGACTATCAGGCACCCATTGAATTCATCAATCACAAACATTTTTTGATGACATGATGTATTCGTTCTTTCCTATAATTGTTGTTCTCTTCCTGTGTTGTTATTATGACAACAAGCATGGCACTGCTCAGGAGGTGCTCACAAGTGTAAATATTCATTCATCTGCTATACTTTCTTTAAAAAAAAAAAAAAGCAGGCAGGGATAGCTCAGTAGGTAGAGTGGTGGCCCCATGATCAGAAGGTCGGGGGTTCAATTCCCCTGAACAGCTACCCTGAGGTACCCCTGAGCA